CATTCAAGCCCCTCTCCCAACAAAGCAGTTTGAAACAGTGGATATGACATTGACCTGCTTGCTTTAAAACAAACCAATCATGTGACTTTTAAGTGGCTTTAGCCATTTTTTTTTTTTTATTTCCCCCTCCCCATGCCCCATCCACAGGTAGCTGTGATTGCTCACTTGGCAAAGCCCGTCCTTCTCCTTCCCTACTTCTGTCTCAGCAGAGTGGCAACTGGGGGAGAGGGGTTAGTTTGAGGTTTTTCATTTTAAAGGCAGCTGAGGTTTTTACAAAAAAGCTGTATCTTTGTTTATAGCAGAACTTTTATATGTTCTCTCATTCCCCCCCCTTCTTTCTGCTTTCCTCATTCCTTTCAGAAAAGAATTCCCTTCAGCTAAAATGATGTTCTGACAAAACTCTGCTTAGTTTTGTATATGGTTCTGTGCTACGTTGAGAGTTTGAGTTTGTTTGGGTGTATTTCCCCAGATGATTTAGCCTTTGACTATTTGATTAAAAAACCAGGACAGTTATGGCATTTGTTAATTTTTCAGTATTTTTGTTTTAAGCTAGAAGCAGTGCTTGCATTAGGAGTAAATGTGTACTAAAGGCATATAGTAGATCAATGCATCAATCCTGAAACTTGCACCACTTCAATGTAGTTTTGGGGTGTCTTGTACACAACAAAATGTGGCATTTTTATTTTCAGGAAAAAAACCAAACAAACCACCAAATTTCTGTTGCAAGTTCATCTGGATCTAGGTGTTTGGTTTTCCCTTTTTGTGGGTTTGGGATTTTTTTTAATGACTGCCAAACACACACACCAAAATGTAAGTCATAGATTTACGAAATATAAAATTTGTTAAGGAAAAAAAATTCTCATAGCGTATGGGTCAGAAGAGTTGGCTAAAGCCAACGGGTCTGTATGGACTACTTTTTGTAGTTGTGATGCTTGAATTCTTCGTGTCTCCTGCGACTTGTTCTATATTGTGTTCATCCCTCGGGGCTGTTCTCCTAAGCTTTGCTCTTCTCCCTTTTCCCTGAGTCTTGCTTTCCGTTCCTCTAACTCATGGCTTTCTGTAAAATTTGCCTAGAAGCACGTTGGTAAGAGAGCCCCTCTGCAAGGCAGCCATTTTAGCACATTTGGAACCTCCTTTTTTTGTGTTGGAAGTACTTGGTTACAGAGGCAGTTTGGAATCATCCTTCTACTCCTTCCCCGGATGAACAGCAAAGGGTTCTTTACTCCTGATGCATATAGTGTGTGTACAGCATTGTCACCTCACCACTCCTCTCCAGTATTTGATGATCTGCAAAAGGAAGATCCCAGTGGGAGAGGTTGGGTTTTATTTCTCTGGCTGTTTGGTTTTGGTTTGTGTGTATGTGTGTGTGTGTGTGTGTGTGTGGTGTGTGTGTATGTAGATCTTTTAGGATGGACTTATCAAGTCCCTGAAAGGGCTTGGAGTCCTTCACCTAACGGTAGTGTTAAGTAAAAACTACTTTCAGCTAACTTGGTTTGTGTTGTTTTAGCTTTTTCCAAGTGTAAAGTAGGCTGGTCACTCTAAAGTGAGGGACAGAACCATTTTTGGAGGTGATCGCTTGCTCATGGGCTGTGCATTGGTCTCTGCTGGGTGGCAGAAAGTCATTTGGTGGTGGTTCCAAAGAAGATATTTTGAACAAAGAATGTATTTGGGAAGGGATCTGAAAGGTTGTTCTTGTTTCTTCATTTGCTTTCCTCTTCCCCCCCCCATTTTCTGGAAAAGATCCTTTGTAACTTTCTAAGGATGCATTTGAAGTTTTAAGCTAGGCATAAATATGATTTTTATACAGTAGCTTTAAAGAGCTTAGAAACCTAAACTAACTTAGACATAGTAATGTCCCCTCTTCACAGGTGTCCCCATTGATCATGGCAGAGAACCCGAAGGGAAAGGGATAGGATGGTACTTTAAGAAAAAAATAAAAGCTCTTTTTTCTTAGGTTTTATGGTTTTTTAATTTCAGAGCAGAGTGTGCCAGCATCTCTCTAGCATCCTCCTTAAAGTACAGGGTTTGAGATTTAGCGACAAATATTCCCCCGACCTTCAGACATATCCCAGACCTGCATCCTCATCTGCTAGTCCTGCTCCCGACGTTTTCCAAAGATTGCACCACCAGTAAGTCATCCCACCCTCCTTTCTATTTTCTCCCTTGAAATATCATGAACAACAGAATTGTCTGTGGTTTTTTTTATTATCCTTCTGCCCAGCTGGCCCTAGCGAATATCAGCCCAGAATCTAACTGTAATGGCTAAAGAGACTTACCTGAGCCCCCCTCTTCTCATCTCTTCCCTGCCCTAGACACACTACTTCAGCTTTACAAAGACACTAACCTCTTTCCTCCCACCTGTGTGACTTTGGAGTGGTCAGACACGTTGGGAGAAACTGGGTTACTGCTAGATCCAAGTTACTGCAGTCCCTCTGGTGTAAATGCCATCAGAACTACAATACTTCCTGTTGGAAAAGGTCACCCTTCTTTCTCTTTTAACCCCTCCATTCCTTCCCCCCAACAGAATAAAACACTAGAATTTATTTATACGTATTTGATGTTGTAGGTCTAGGTGAAAAAGTAATTGTTTCACTGCTCTATTTATATATTATGTCTGAATTATTCTGTGCAGGAAAGGCCAAGAAATGCATGTGAGCTTCATTCCATTCCTCACCTTTGCGTGACTGTCAGCTGCAGTTGGCAAGACTCTCTCTCACTTTAGTGGAGTTTTGTGTGATGGAAAGCAGTTTTAGAGCCCAAATTTCTACGGTGCAATATCCTTCTCTGGCATATATATTTTTGTTTGTTTGTTTAAAGCTAGTCTAAGGTTAGTGCAGTTTGTGGTGCTCTGGAGTCAAAAGGAAAAGCCTCTGATTCTCAAGGAACAGAAATGCCAAGGGTGCTGGTATGCTGATACAAATCCAGCTTGGGGAGGAGGAGAGTGGAGGTGCACAGAATGTGTTGATGCAGTTGCAGAGGGTCCTTCTGCTCGAAGGGTTTGGGCCCTGATTTATTCCTTTATGAGTTGCTTTTTGACTGGAAATCAGCTACCAAATTGCAGGCTCCTTGTGCTAGGAAAGGTGCAGGGTGCAGCGGGAGGGAGAGGTGGAATCCACCTTCTCAGCAACAGTGGGCAAAGCAGAAATATTCAGAGGCTGACTTTGCTGCTGCGTGTTCAGCAGAAGGTCTGAAGCACGTGTGTGATCCGTTCTTTCCCTCAGTGATTCGTAGCCAGCAGCTGCACTCAGTGCTGCTTTCCTCACCTCACCACCACCTCAGCTGCTGTTGGCTCTTAATTCAATAACAAATAAATATTGAAGTTGTGGGGGGAGGCAGGGGAAAAAAAAAGGCACTCCAGTTTCTTTTTAAATGACGAGTGGAAGCAGCACAGTCACCAGTGACACCGGTCTTGCTGTTGATGTCCCATCACTTGCTCCTGGCTATGCCAGCTGTGCAGTGTCAGCACCTCTGGATGTGTTTGCGCCCATTGCCCTCCCTGTGCGTGTTGTGCTCACGCAGAGGCACTCACTCCATCAGGACCTTCCTTGCAGGAATGCTGCAAAGCTTCAAGCTGCCCTGTGGTTCCTGTGTATTTATAGATTTAAAAATGAGCTGAGCAGTTTTGCTGTGTCTCACCTGGCTCCTCCGTTCACTTTGCAGCCAGACCCCCTGCATGTCAGGATCTCCCTCTGTTGCTTTTTGTTAACCCTCCCTGGTTAAGCACAGATTAATTCTTTGTACCACGGGTTATATTTGACTCAGCAGCCCAGTTTCTCATAAGAAAGTTGCATTTGGGAATAAGAATTAATTTACAGGAGGTGCTTAGTTGTGGCCCATGGGCACAGCAGGTGTGTTTTGCTGAAGTGATGTAACTGGAGGGGCGGCAGAGTCCAGCTGGTTTTTGTTGTTTATTTTAATCCAAAGACCACCAGGTTTTTCCCAGTGGCCACAAACACTCCCTTGGGTTGAATGGCTTGTCCTGGCTGCTCCAGATGTCCTTGACTGTCCCCCCAGGAATCACAGCTGCAGCAGTGAGGCGCTCACCCTTTAGCATGTCTCGAGGCGTTGTCCTTAGCTGGAATCCTCCCTCTGGTTCTGTATAAATTGCATTTGTTGTTTCTCAAGGGGATACTGTCCTCCTTAAAGCTTTTAACCTCATGACCTGTATAGTAAATTTTTTTTGGCCTTTCCTCTCTTTGTCTTTTCATGTAGACCAGATATTTGAAAGGGCAGACGATGGATAATTGTGTAACGTGCAACCTGTTTATATTTTTTGGAAACTTTTACTCGGACCGGAATTCGAATCACGGAATCACCAGGCCAGTTGCGGCACACTCTTTATTGCCCTTCTCCTCGTTTCAGTACCTATTGTTTCTCCTTTCAAATATGTGATTGTATTAGCTCTTTCCATATGAAAGAATTCTCCTTATTTAAATAAAAAAAAATTTAAAAAAATAAAGCAGGTTATGCTTTTCTCAAAAAAAATCCGCAGTCTCTCGTCTCATTCTTTTCGTTAGAATTTCTTCACAGAAAGGGTGATTGGACAGTGGGATGGGCTGCTCAGGGACAGGGTGGAACCACCCTCGCTGAGGGTGTTTAAGGAACGCCTGGACATGGCAGTGAGTGCCCTGGTCTCGTTGACATGGTGGTGTTGGGTCATACGTTGGACTCAATTCCAACCTAACTGATTCTGTTAGATACTATGGGGTTTTTAGCTTGAATGAATGGAGGTGGCCACAGCACTGGTGTCCCAGTGCAGGGACGGGGCGGGTAACAGCTCTTGGAACCCCGTCAGGGCGGGCCCTGGGCCGGGCCACCACACGCGGGGTATTGCCATGGCAATCCATCCGGGTCTTCCCTTGGCCCCGCCCCGCGGCTGCCACGTGAGTCGACGTCACGTCCGGCGCCGCCAGGTAGGGGGCGGGAGGAGCGCAGCGCGCGGAGTGGCCACGCCCCCCCGGCGCGAGGGGGGCCCCGAGGGGTGGGGGGGGGGGATCGTCCCGATCCTGGCCCTGATCCCGGTCCCGATCCCAGTCCTAGCCCCGGTCCCTGTCGTCTTCCCGGTCCTGGTCTTGGTCCAGGTCCACGTTCTCGTCCCGATCCCGATCCTGGTTCTCATCCCCGTCCTGGTCCTGGTCCTGGTCCTGGTCCTGGTCCTGGTCCAGGTCCCGATCTTGGTCCTAGTCCCAGTCCCGGTCCTCCTGGTCCTGGTCTCACTCCTGATCCTGGTCCGTGCCCTGATCGCGATCCCGATCCTGGTCCTGATCCTGGATGGTGATCCCGATCCCTGTCCCGGCACTGCGGTGCCGCTGGTCCCGCAGCCCCCTCACGTCAGGGCCTGGGAGGGGGGTTCGTGCCTCCTCTGCCCCCCCCGGCTCGGAACGGGGGGTGGGTGATGCCCCCGCAGGGTGGGAGGCCTGGTGGCGGGTCCTCTGCCCCCAAAAACGCTCCAGGAGGGGTCCAGGGCTGGGCACAGCCTGGGTGGTGGGTCCTGGTGACCCTCTAAGGGTGAGGTGTGGGGTCAGTCCTGCTGCCCCCCAGGGAGCTCCCGAGGGGGGCCAAGGCTGGGCTGGGGGGTCAGTGGTGCTGCTCCCCCCTCAAAAGGGGGTGCAGAGCCTGGTAGAGGGGCTGGTGGTGCCCTGAGGAGGAGCACGAGGTGGTGCTGCACACCTGCCCCGGGGCCAGGCCAGCCTGTGCCGCAGGGATCAGCACAGTCCTGGCCATCGTGTGCTCTCAGGGAATCTGTGAGGCGGTGACAGAGAACAGGTGGGAGCAAAACTCTGCCAGGGGCCCCTGAAAAAGTGCATTCTCTGTGTTTGATAGGCAGAGAGAAACCAGGCCAGTGGCACCGCTCTGGAGGGTGGTGATGTGCTCACATCTCGCTTTGTTCTGCCCTGATCAAAGCCACGCAGATGGATTTGTTCTGGTAACTTTCCGTTGTGTTGAGGTGAGTGAGGAGACATAGCACTGATTCCCTGCTATTTTCTGACCTAGCTTTCAGCAGTTCTACTTCCTACAGCACGTACATCTGTGCTCCAGTAAGCAGCTTTTTAAAGCAGAGGGTGTTCGTGGGTTCTGCCTGTCCCCTTCCCCACCTGCAAAGAAATACCTCTGTTTGCAAGGAAATAACTATTTTTTTAAAGCTACCCGAGCTCTAAAAAGCTCAGGTACTGTGCTCACCTGGTGCCTGAGCACCTAGTTTGTCCATCACTAACATCAGAATTTGGGCTGGGAGCTTTGTTTTGTACAAAGCAGAATATAGGCTGGAATTAAGCTGTTGTGTTCCTGCAGAACCAGTGGAAGAATAAGCAAGGTTTCCAGCTTAGGACTGCAGGCAGAAGCAGGGGAGATGAAAAATGTGTCAGTTTAGTAATTTGATTTTTGCAGTTACTCCTGCAGATCCAACGGAAACACACAAATTTGGAGAGCAAGAGAACTTTGGGAAATGAGTTACCATGAGCTACTTGTAGCAGAGGTTGGAGTGATGCTTTCTGTTAGTGATGTTCAGCTCACTGTGAGCCAAAGGGTGATGCTGCTCTTCTCTTCTGCTCCCGAGGTTTGGACACACCTTTGACAGGATGTTGGGGTTTCTGAAGGAGCCTGTTGTGGTCACTGCAGAGATCAACGTGAACCTCGTGGCCCTGACTGTGATGGGATTAATAACTCGCCTTTGGGGGCTCTGTTATCCACGGGCTGTGGTGTGAGTAGAAGAGTTTATTTTCTACTTGAATGACACAGGCTTGTTTTTTAAACCTTTACGAGTAAGAATGCAGGAGCAGAAGAGCAGAGCTTGACTGATGTCAGCCTCTGTAAATCACAGAATCACAGAATGGTTTGGATTGGAAGGGACCTTAAAACTCACCTCATTCCAATCCCCTGTCATGGGCAGGGACACCTTCCACTATCCCAGGCTGCTCCAAGCCCTGTCCAACCTGGCCTTGGACACTTCCAGGGATGGGGCAGCCACAGCTTCTCTGGGCAACCTGTGCCAGGGCCTCACCACCCTCACAGGGAAGAATTTCTTCCTAATATCTAATCTAAAGCTACTCCCTGTCAGTGTGAAGCCATTCCCCTTGTCCTGTCACTCTAGGCCCTTGTAGTCTCTCTCCATCTTTCCTGTAGGCTCCCTTCAGGTACTGGGAGGCCACAATTAGGTCACCCCTGTCCCTTCTCTCTTCCAGGATGAACAATCCTAATACAGTGATAGTGTTTCCCTAATCCAACTTCCCGAGGGGAAGGTAAAGGTGCAAAACCTCAGTTCTTTGTTAACTTTCTGCCAACAAGTCAGTATTTGCTTTCCTAGTGTCCCTGCAGGATAATTCCAGTTAGATTTGACATATTTCTGCCTTTTGTGTTTCAGTTTTGATGAAGTTTATTATGGCCAGTTCGTGTCACTCTACATGAAGAGGATCTTCTTTGTGGATGACAGTGGCCCACCTTTTGGCCACATGCTGCTGGCCTTGGGAGGTAGGGTCTCCTGGAACTGGGAAGTGCCTGTTGCCTGTTGCTGCGGGAGACAGAAGTGCTGGTTAAAAATGAGTTGTCAGATCCAGTTACTGGGGAAAAGCACAAGGCAGATGAGAGATTTTGATGTAGAGAGAAGTGGGTTTTCTTTTATTTTGTATTGTTAGGAGGCTGTTGTACGAGTAGAGTGGAGGTGATGGATCCATGTATCCGTTACCTCACTGTTATCCGATCCTTTGGATAAAGAGAAGGGTGAGATGAGAACTGCTGGAGACAAGACATAGACAACAAACACTCTCAGGCCTGAGTTCCTTTCTGTAGCTGAGATATGCACAACATGAAAGTGTCTGTATGGGACGGGGAGATTAAATATACATCTGACTTTGTCACTGAGAATCTGTCGTTCCCAATTTATATTCTTTGTGCCTCTGCACATTCTCAAGCACTGCTGCAGGCAGATCACTATCAAAGAGGACCCTTTTGGGAAAGGGGGCCCTCATGCCTGGAAAAGCTGTGTGTTTGGGAAATGGTTCCCTATTTAGCAGCAATTTTTGTACTTGTTTTGAGACTGGAAGTTCTGAATTGTTGCTTATGTTGTAGGTTACTTAGGAGGATTTGATGGAAACTTCTTATGGAACAGGATTGGAGCTGGTAAGAGCTGTTTTTAACTGACTCATTCTTTTGAGAAAAGGAGAATTTCAGGGGCTGACAGATTCCTTTTGCCTGACTAGTGAAAATAACACTTTACCTGACACTTCCCTTCTCCTTTTCAATAAGTCTTCTGCAGGTCTCAAACAGAAATACAAGGCACTGTGATTCCAGATTTTTTAAATTCAGCTAAAACAGCTTAAGCAGTACAAGATGGACAATAAATTAGCACAAGTCAGCGTTAGATTCAACAACTAAGGAGTTCTGTAGTGGTCTGTGCTCTCTGCAGTTAAGTTTCCAGTCGGTCATTGTGTTGTCTCCTGTTCCAGAATACACCATGAACGTTCCTGTGTGGTCCCTGCGGCTCCTGCCAGCCCTGGCTGGTGCTCTCTGTGTGCCTTTAGCCTACCAGATCCTGGTGGAACTGCACTTCTCCCACTGTGCTGCACTTGGAGCTGCTCTTCTGATCCTCTTAGGTAAGATTATTCCACTGAGACCCATTCTTCATACATGGGGATGAGTCCCTTTTCTCCTCAGGGATTTTTAGGGTGCATAGAAGGCTGGAGTAGTATCTCCCCACAGAACACTGACAACATGTTGGAGCCCACATTCATGCCTGGCCTGTGCTGAGCTCCCTGGCCCTCTCTATCCTCACAGCTCTGCAGCAGGCTGCCCTTCTGGGCTTTATACAAGTTCACTTCAGTACTAAGCAAAGTGAGCAGCCTTAACAGCCTCACAGAAAACCACATTTCTTGTATCCAAGGCGGCCTGTACTCCCTCCCTCAGAGGTTTATGGGATGAGTTGCAACATATTGGTTTTTAACAGCAGGACAACCCTGCTCTCAGTCAGAGCTCATCTGATTTCTTCATCTGCAAACTGCAGCAAACCAGCCTGTGTCCTTAGCACTGTGGTTTGACTCTGTTCTGGTGTGTTCAGCTCAGTTCATTTTGTTTCTCTGAGGGGCTGCTGGCAGCTGCCTGAAAGGGCAAGAGCCTCTCAGCAGCCCTTTAGCAGCCTGATAAGAGAAACCTCTCCTAGCTACCAACTGCTCTGATTCTGGCTCCTTGCAGCTCCTTGTCTTGCAGATTTGTTGTTGTGCTCATTGCCTGCTGGGCTCACTGCCCTGACTGCCTGGAGAAGCACCTCTCTGGATTTACCAGCATTGATTTTCTTTGCCTTTGTAGGAAGCACAGCAGCTTTATCTGCCTCCTGCCAGAGTTTACTGCTTGCTCACCTCTTTGTTTTGGAGATAGTTATGACCTTGTGCTTTGCTCCTGCTGGAAGGTTTTAGTCCCTTATAAACCCAGCACCTCCCCACTACAGCCAGTAGGAATTGGCTGTCCCTAAAGGGCAGGTCCTTCTGTTGGATAACAGTGCAATTGTCTGAGGTAGCACTTGCCTGTAGATAAATTTCTCTAATTTTTTGTCTATCTCTCTTTTCCCACAGAGAACTCTCTGATCACTCAGTCAAGGTTCATGCTCCTGGAATCAATATTGATTTTTTTTATCCTACTTGCAGTTTTGTCCTACCTGAAGTTCTACAATTTGCAGAGGCACAGGTAAAGCTGGATTGTCTCCCATCCTTTTGGATATTCTCGTGGTGACTTTTTTGGTCACAAACTATGTGGTTTTTTTCTATAAATCATTTCACCATTGTGTAGTTGACTTAATCTGTCTGTAAAACCCAATGCTTTGCTGCTCCAGAAGTTTTCTCAGTAGCATTAAAGACTGTTTTAACTGTTAGCAAGGTTGTCTTTTTTTTTTTTATTTTACAGTAGAAGTAAAATCCCTTAGGAGCACTTCTTTGCCCACCCACATTTTTTATTGGAAGCTTTCCTTCTGTGCACATAAACACTAAAGATAACAGGTCACTTAATGCTCCTTTATTACTGTTTACATGCATTGAATTTAGAGATACTTGTCTTTTTTGTTCTCTGATCCTTGCAGAGGATAAAGTAATATTTAGTGTAGTAAAATTATCTTTAAAGCAAACTCAGCAAGTGATTTAATACATTTATCTTTAAGATCCTTCTCTGGAAGATGGTGGTTTTGGCTCATGCTGACTGGAGTAGCCTGTTCATGTGCAGTTGGGTAAGCGATGGTGTCTTACTTGGACTTTATTGCCTCCTGTTCAAGGGAAAGTTTGAATGTTTATAGCTTATATTAGGTAGTTGTGTAGTTTTTAACCTTGTTCATTTTTTATGCACTTTTCTTCTCAGAGTGAAATACATGGGCCTGTTTACCTATATGCTGCTCTTGGCCATTGCAGGGCTGCACTTCTGGCACATGATAGGAGACCAGACCTTGTCAAATGTAGGTACTACAACATGCAGAATATACTGTGTAACTTTTCAGTGCAGGAACCAGCCAGGGGCCCACAGATAACAATGCTGACTGTAGCTGGGTTTTCTGCTAAAATTCCTTGTAGGGAAACCCTCCTTTCAAAGAACAGTTCCCAGTTTATTTGCTGGGGAAGATGGAGTTAAGTTTTAAGAAAAACACGTGTGTGTGACTGGCTTTTCTGCTCTCTTCCATGTCTTGGTGATTTGTGACTCAAAACCTACACTGTCTCACATACCTTTTGCTAGCTGCAGTTCACATCCTCAGTGGAAGTTATCCAGTTGTCCACAAAGTTACAGCTGAATGAGGGGGGTGGGGGAAACCTAGAAAAGACAAACAAAACAAGCCAAGTGCACTGTTATTTTTAATATTTTTCGTATCTGGAGGATGAAAACAGTGAGTTTTCCCTGTTCCCCCAGGTTTCCTTGCTGTGCCATTTTCTAGCCCGGGGACTGGCCCTCCTCCTCATCCCAGTGGTGATGTACCTGTCCTTCTTCTATGTCCACTTGGCTCTGCTGTATTGCTCTGGGCCTCACGACCAGATCATGACAAGTGCTTTCCAAGCCAGCTTAGAGGTAAAGGAAATGTGGCCATGGAACTGATTTATTATGGAGAAAAAGGGGTAAAGCTGTCTTATGTTCATTATTAGAAGAAAGGTGTGCAATACCTTGATCCTGCATATTTGTTCCTTTTATGTCATTTAACCACTTTGCTGCTGTAGTACTGCTTTAAGATGAAGCAATAATGACTAAAATCCTAATAACAGATGAAAAGCTGTTTTCCCAGTGAACCAAGAACAATATTTTCACTCTTCTGCAGAAGATTTGTCCCTTCTTACAGGAAACTCCACAGAAGTAGATACAGTACTGAACTCTTGAGTGATGACATGGTACACTACAGGATAACAGTATGATTTTCTGTAGAAGAGTGCATAGTCTGTCCTTTAGGACAGCATGGCTTTAGGGATATTCCTGAGACCCTGTAGTCTTTTAGGCATTGGTGTATTTACTGTCTTCTGAGTACGGTGTTGCAAGACTTGACTTTTGTAGATGAAACCAAATGAGAAGGCACTGTGCTAAGGTCTGCTATGTTAAAGTGACAGGTGACTCAGAATTTAAACAGCCTCTGAGTTGTTTCTTCTTCTTTCTACTTATCCTGTCCTTGCCCTTCTCAGGGTGGGCTGGCTCGGATCACTCAGGGCCAGCCCTTAGAGGTGGCCTATGGCTCTCAGATCACCCTGCGGAACGTGCTGGGCAAGCCCATGCAGTGTTGGCTCCACTCTCACACGAACACTTATCCCATCAGGTGAGGAATCTGGGTGAAAGTATGCTCTGGTGCTTCACCTGCCAGTCCAAGTATCGTGGTTTGTGTCCTGGCAATGTCTTCATTAATGCTTGAGATTCCCTGTGCTCTGTAGGAAGGAGCCAGTGATCTGGTGCTGGTTTGTATTGCTGGTGAGCACAGAAATGTACCCTTACACTTCTGTGGGGTTTTTAACTCTCTGTGCAGGTATGAGAATGGCCGAGGGAGTTCCCATCAACAGCAGGTGACCTGCTATCCCTTCAAGGATGTGAACAACTGGTGGATTGTCAAAGATCCTGGAATGTGAGTATGTAAGAGATTTCATTGCAAGCTACATGCTTCCAGAACCAAGGCATAGCTCGGCTTGAACATAAGTCTTCTCTGCTTATGGGTGCAGAGGCCATGTGTGATCTGAGTAAGGGATTGCAGCTGCAGAGTTGGTAAAGGCAGCTCCTTGCAGGATCCTCCTCAATGTGGTAAAAGCATTGAGGACTCTGAAATCCTGTCTGAACTGCTCCTGCCAGAACGTGGGCTGTGCTGTGCACAAGGGAAACTTGAAAGACTCACAGGACCAGTGTAAATTCTTCAGGTGCTTTGCATGAAAGGGGAGTTCTGCTTCTTGAAGTGTGTGAGCCATGGCATTAGAGTGTCTTGGTGAGTTTTATCAAACTTGGATGAGTCTCAGAAGAAAGTAGAAATCACTTTTGCAAAATGAGTAGTTCTTTGTATTAAAAGTGTTGGATGAGCTTAGAATCTGCTATGTGGGGAGGGATTCCAAGTGGTGCCTGTACCTGAGAGGCCTGATTTGTGCTGAAGTGTTTTGCCATTGTCACTGTCAGTGCAGAGCAGGACTCTTTGTTCTTGTTTTGCCAGTAAAAGCCCTTGAGTGATATAATTTCATATTGATCAAAAAGTTGCTTTTCTAGGTTTCTTATGTTGCTCTGGGAACTGTATAAAGAGTCCTCCTAGAAGGGCTGTGTGTCATTATAAATCATATCTATGTTGGGAAAGTTTGTCCATGGTGCAAACCTTTCAAGCAGGGACTCTACCAGAAGTACAGAAACCTAATATATTCTTAAAATTCTTCAAACTCAAGACTCCTACAAACAGGTGCAAAGTCCTTCTATAGAACAGCAAAATACAGGCAGCAGTTTGATAAACTCCAGTGTTCCCCCTTGCCAGAAGTCCAGAAGGAAGATGAGAGTTTGGTCTGCATGGTGGAGAAAGCCATTGATCTCTCTTATAATTCTGCCAAAGTGACAGCAGCTGTAGTACAGCACTTGTGAGACTCACTGAAGCACTCACTTGTTCCACAGAAGCCACCAAACAGCTGTGGGATGGGAATAACCTTAATTCACTCCTGACTGACCTGGATTCAGACCACTGACCTAATGCCTGCGGTGTCAGTATCCCATTACTGATCCTCTGACTCACTGTGCCCTTAGCTCACCTTTCCCTTGATGAGCTTTGTTTCCATTCTGGTACAATCTATATATTGCTTTAATTTCTCATCTTCCTGCTTAAATATCTGTCCCTGCCTGCAGCTTCTTGACCTGACAGTTTGGTCACAACAAGGTTGTGTTATATATAAAGATATATCAAATTTAACCATTTCCTCTTGGGTATCACTTCTCCAGGCAGCAGCTGGTGGTGAGTAACCCCCCCCGGCCCGTCAGGCATGGACACATTGTGCAGCTGGTCCACGGCATCACAACCCGCTACCTCAACACGTAAGTCCCTTCCTCTTCCTCTGCTCTGCCAGTCCTGCCTCACTCTGCTGTGTTGTCTCTCAGAGTAACCCTTCAGGGGGTGAAGCACAGTGACCTTGCATTCAGATGTGCCATAAACTGCCTGTTACTCACGGATCGACAGTGGGGCAAGGAGGGACCTCGTGTGGTTAGTTCTTCCATAAGCCATCCCTGTGGCCCAGAGGGAGGACGCTCTGTGCTTATTTATTTTTTGCAGCTGACTTGGCAGTGGGATTTGATCTTAATCACAAATTGCTCAGTGGCTGTTCACTGTTTCTGGTCCTCTCTACGAGGTGATGGTTTTTCCTGTGTTCCCATTTCATGGTAGTTCTGCAGATTCCTAAACAGAATCCCCTCCGTGAGCCTTCATCCTTCACTGCCCCCCCTCCAGGCAGGTGCAGGGATTTAATATTTTGTGTAACTTAACCCAGAGACAACTCAATTGATTTTGTTGGCATACTCCTGCATGAAGGATGTGCTCTGGAAGTTAGGAAGATGTGTTGGAGAATCCAGTGTGCTGTGGCTCATTGCCACAGATTCTTGCCTGTGTTGAAAGCCTGCAGTATGAAATTGCCTCCTGACTGCTTCCCAAAGGGCATCTGCTTGAATATCACTCAGATTAGGAAGGGGGCTGCTCTGAACTTGGGTTTTGCCATGTCCCTTCCAAACCTAATTTGTTCATTATTGGAAAGCCCAGTGAACAGCGTCTCTGTTTGTCACAATCAGTGCTTGTTCTTCAGCCTGGCATCGCAGGCATCTGCATTGGCTTCCTCTGAGCCTGTTCCTGGCAGCTCTGGCTTTTGGGGAGTGCTCTTTCTCAGAGTAAACAGTGCAATCTGTATAAGAGAGTTATTTTCACTTTATTACTGAATCCAGTCTAAACCAATCCCATATGGTTTTGCTTTTTATATGAATTTGGGAAATGGTGGTGGAGGATCTTATTTAACTTGTCTTCTAGGCATGATGTTGCTGCCCCTCTGAGCCCCCACTCCCAGGAAGTTTCCTGCTATATTGATTATAACATCTCCATGCCAGCACAGAACCTCTGGAGAGTGGTGAGTGGTCAAAGGGAGGGGAGAAGCTGATCATGTTCCAGCAGAAACAGCTGGGACAACATGACAATCCAAAGCCATCTTTCTGTTGTAGGAGATTGTAAATCGGGAGTCTGACACAGACGTGTGGAAGACAATTCTGTCAGAAGTGAGGTTTGTTCATGTCAACACCTCTGCAGTGCTAAAGGCAAGTGGGCTTATGTTTATGTGCTACAGCTTTTGTTTCATGCAGTGCTTGTATTCTCACAAACTACTCATCTCTCTGCTCCCAAATAAATAAATAACTACAAAAATAACCAAATAAGTAAATAAAAGGAAACAATAAACTTGCTCAGGGTGACAAAAAACCAGCACGTGTTTTAGGTAGTCGTATTTCATCCCTTTTCAGCATCAGAGCTGTCCTGCTTCTCAGGAGGTTGACCACTGTACACTGCTGAGGCTTAGAATTTGATGCTGAGTCTGTGAGTAGCATGTGGCAGCAGCTGGAGTAGTTAAGGATCTTTTTCTTCACAGAGTTTGCCAGAATCACTGACTTTATGGCTGTAGCATTTGTTGAGACAGCACTGCATGGTGACTCCACATACACTTTCTAGCAATCCCTTGCTGGCCTCCCAGGCAGGGCCTGGGAATTTCCATCCTGAAGTTCAGGTTGGCAGCACTGTAAGTTCACAGCCATCTTTCACTTACAGCTCAGTGGAGCATCTCTGCCCGAGTGGGGATACCGGCAGCTGGAGGTGGTTGGAGAGAAGCTGTCCAAAGGCTACCACCAGAGCATGCTGTGGAATGTGGAAGAGCACAGATACGGGAAAAGTACGTCTCAGCAGATTTCTGTGACTGGGGAACACTTCATGTTGATGGGAAGGTGGTTCTGTGTGTATGTGTGTTCAGTTGGCCCTGTCATGATGTCAGAATCCTTACAAATTCCCTTGGAGCACTGTTGCAGTTGGATGATGTATTGGAGAAGGGCTCCTGGGAGAGTGAGGAGCCAGGACTATATCCTGTGTGCTTCCCTCTCTAGCTTTCTGCCCGTTATGTCGTTATTTCTGAGCTATGCTGTTTTCTTCCAGGCCAAGAGCAAAAAGAGAGGGAAGTGGAACTCCACTCTCCCACACAGATGGACATCAGTAAAAACCTCAGCTTCATGGCAAAGTTCACAGAATTGCAGGTGAGTGTCTTGTTATTCCCTTCATCTTTCCTCCTGGTGCAGAGCAGAAACCTGAGCATATCTGCAGACTCTGAGCCTAAGGATCCATTGTTTATTCCTTGCTGATAGTCTGGCTTCCTCACTGAAAAAAAAAATATTTCAGAATGCACTTATAAGGGCATTAGTGACCTGTGCTGTTCAGCAATGAATACCCAAGTGATTGTGTAACAAAAAAGGGGGAGGAAACTGTTGTGCACCCAGAAGCTGCATGAAACTGAACTGTAATGTGTGTTACATGGAAAGTGCATTATATAAGAACAAAATAAAGCCTTTGTATTGATCAGTATCCATGTGAGATAGGCAAAATCTTTCTCCACTCCCAGGTTAGGAACTTAGCATCTTATATCTGGAACGTTCAACCACCTGTTGCTCCCATTCTGAAAGCTTTGTTTCCTTTTTTTTTCTAGTGGAAAATACTCACATTAAAAAATGAAGACACAGAACATAAGTACAGCTCCTCTGCTCTGGACTGGATCACAATGGACACAAATATTGCCTACTGGCTCCACCCCACCTCTGGGGTAAGTACAAGAGGCAGAAGTAACTGTGAATGGGGTGAGAAAGGAGACTTCAGTTCACATGTGAGCTCCAGGAGTGGGAGTCCGAGCAGGGCTGCAGTTCCAGCCAAGGACTCTTCCTCTGCTAATGTATTTTCCCTGAGGGTTGAGGTTTTTATTTTAGCATGAGATACAGCTTTGGCAGTAGTGACTTTTAATTAAATCATGTCTTCTTGAACTTTTTTTTAAAGGTAAACTGCAGTTTAATAGTTTCCATTATTGATTCTATTTAGAAGATGAGTTCATCTCCAATAGCATTTTTCAAATGCCTTCCATTACAAAAGAGTCTCAAAGCAGCAAAGTTTATCAGCCAGCTTTGTTCCAGGTTACTAGCCAGGCACATTCTGAGGTTTAATTTAGCAAGTATGTGTACGTAGTATTTAAACTTACTTAAAAGAACCACTGCTTCTGGCTGACCATCAACTATCCTGCAGGCCCAGATCCACCTCCTTGGGAATGTTGTCACCTGGGCTTCAGCTAATGCTGCTGCTCTGGTCTACACGTGTCTGTCCCTGTGGTACTTGATACGACGGAGGAGGAGGATTTATGACATCCCTGAAGGTCTGATTCCACTGTGTGTGTGTGTCCAGGTGGAGGGTTGTGGCTTGCTCTGCTCTGAGATGCCATCTCCCATCTCCTGCAGATTCCTGGCAGCTCTGGGTGTCAGCTGGGGGTGTCTGTGGTGGAGGCTGGGTTGTGAACTACCTGCCCTTCTTCCTGATGGAGAAAACACTTTTCCTGTACCACTACCTGCCTGCCCTCACATTCCAGATTCTCCTGATTCCCGTCGTGTTGCAGCACCTCGGTGATCATCTCTGCAGGTATTTGGCTTTAACAGAGACAGTTCTCTTTAACAAGGGAAGTGACACAGTTCTTTTCTCCAGGGCTGTCACCTGGACAAGCTGCTGCAGGGAGAGCAGTGGTTTTTCCAGCAGAGGCCACACTCTGTCATTTGTCTTTAAAGAAACAGGCCAGGTGTAGGTCTTCCTTTTGGATGAAGTGTTCGTCCAGCTTTGATGTAACTTGACTGCTCTTTCCCGCTCTCATCCCAGGTCTGTGCTGCTCAAGAGCATGTTCAGTGCACTGATTGTAGCCTGGTTCTCCTCAGTGTACTTTGTCTACTGCACCTTCAGCCCCGTGACCTACGGGCAGCCCGCGCTGTCCATGACGGAACTCAAGGACTTGCGCTGGAAGGACAGCTGGAACATCCTCATCCGAAAACAGTGACCGCTACAATCGCGTTACAGCCAAAAGGAAACACCTTTTGTGCAAAGCCAAGGATTTATTGTTAGTGTAACTGAAATCTTAACAGTCGGATCAAGTAATTGACAGTAGTCCAGATCTAACGATTACAGGAAAAGAGCACTGTTACAGAAAAGCTCTCAACAGGAATACATTTATGAGCACAATTCCCAGTTTCTGCCCCTGTTACATTCACCCTTCCACTGCCCCTCGGGGCCTGAAGGTTGCTGACTTCAGGCAACAGCATCCCAGGCTCCTTTGCTGGGAAGAACATGCTGCAACAATATCTTCTTCCTCTTTCTGACAGCGGTGGTTTCTTCCTTCTTGCACTGCATTTCACTGAGGGCTATTTCATGTGTTTCCCAGCACCTTGGTCTACAATTCCATGATAAAAGTTACAAAAAATGGGCACTCTCCAACACATCAGATATTTTTCTCTTGATACTCCTAAAAAAAAAAAGGTTTTCCACACTCTGAAGCTTATCCATTCTTTAACAATCAGTAACTGGCCCTGCAGCCTTCAGCACCATCCCATGACTCTATTCCTCAACAATGCATTATTTGCCCCCACTTTCACTGCTCTGCTATCATCCCTATTTATGTAAATACAGCATTAAGCCACATTTATAAATAGTTCATTCTGCATAGAATAATGGCTTGTTACTATTATCTATGTGTAATCATTTGGCATAACCATCATTTTTAAGAAGCAAAAATAAAAAGACATTAGAAAATTACTGTTACAGCTAAACAAGCTAAAACAAGGCTTTGGGCAAGCCAGGAAGTCAGCCAGAGCCAGAAGAATCCTCTGGCCTTGTGGCATTGATGTGAAGCCTGAGGCCTGTTACCAGCCATGGCTGTATTGTATTTACTGGGCTGCAGGGTTACACCTCAAATCCCATGGGAAGAGGAACTCTGGGCAAGGTAGGACTGATCCTGCTGAGAAGGAAACCTGCTCTAACTTGTGCACGTGGGTTCAGGGTAAAAACACTGTAACCCAAACCATGGCCTGGCCTGTTCTAGCAGAGGAATTCACAGAGAAGGGGGAAGGCAGAGGTGAAGGACTAGGATTGCCCAGTGGGGAATTTGTAATGGCTCTAGTTATTTAACCAGGGTTCCAGTACCTCGGCCACATCCCATTTCTTATCTCCATGGGGCTGCAGCAGCAGGTCCTTTAATACAGCACAAAGCTGCCCAGAACAGCAGCCCCACAGAGCAGAGGCTCTTTGTGGAGTTCCTCACAGCTCTAACAAACGCTATTCAAGGCTCTAACAAATGCTTTGAGCTCCCCCCTGGCCTCCAGAGGAAGGTATGATCCAACACCACAGTCATTCAAAGTAGGGTTCAGTGACTATTTTGCTCCTACTGTAATCAGCCCTGAGAGCTAATGCTTCAGTGCAGTAGCTCATAGTCTAAGTCTGTCACCCTGAGCCAAACAGCACCCAGCAGCAGTCAGGAAATGACCTGCCTTCTCCTGGGCACTGCAGAAGTACCACTCAGCTGAGGAGATCACTGAGATACCAAACCTTCACCCATTTCCAGTGTTGAAAAGACTACAGCGATGAAAGTGCAGACTGCAGTTCTTAAGTTTCTTCTTTTTTTTTTTTCTAAATCTTCAGCCACGACAAAACTAAAGGTAACAATTCTGTTGAGTGCAAGAGCTCCTCCAGCAGTGTCCTTTCTGTACCTTTTTGCTGATGTAGTCCAAGTAGCACAATTACCTTTTATATAAAATGGTCATTTTTGATCACTGTTCGTTCATTTGTTTATTAGCCAAAGTAAGACACCCACAACCAACACAGCCAGATGCTGCTTTTAGAAAAACTAGCAAGTATGAAAAAGTTCCTCTTAATAACATTTCCCTCCCACCCTTATTCTTAAAATTACACCATAAGTCCAGACTCAAGAATGGTATCACAAGGACAATTTCAAAGGCCCAACCAGCACTTCATTTCAGATTTTTTCTTTTTCCAGACACTTTACTGTAATCACTTATCTGGGGTAAACTACAGAAACTGGGATGTCACTGTTTATACTTCTTGTCTGCTTGTTTTAGAAAACCAGACATTCTTGAGTTTAAGCTGCTGGAGTGCAAGGCAAGCGCTCTGATCCTGTCTGAGGGTACAACATGTCCAGGCAGCTGCCTGTGCCAGCAGGAGGAGGGTCCTGCCATTCCCAGCTTCCCCCCTTGCTGGTCTCACCAGCCATCTCTGGAAGTGGACGGATTCTGCCCAGCAGAATTTGCAACCAGCAGTACAGAAATGCACTAAAAGACACTAATACTGACAAGGTCAGGTTTCTGTTTCCATGAGCAACTCAATCCAGCTGGAGCTCACACATTCAGTAACTGTGGTAAAGGCGACTGTTTGGGTACAAAAAAATAATCATACAGTGTAGCTAGACTTGGGAGCTTAGAAAGGAATAAATTAGGAATCAAGAGACAATAAACTTCTTGGGCCTGTCCCTGGTGAACTGCAAGTTCCTATTTCTCCCAGACAGCCTCTGTCTCACCCTTATCTCAGGGCAGAGATGCCCCTACAAGTCAAACCCCCTGCCCCCACAGGCTGGCCAGCAGCACAGCAAGGCCAGAACTTAAGGTGCCAACGAGGTGGAGAAGAGTAAGGGCTGCACCTGCTTGTTAAAATTAACAGGGATAGAGGAAAAAAAAACCCAAGAGGCAGATAATTTTCCTGCTAAGGAAGCCCATCATCAGGGAAATGGGGTATCTTACTAATCACCTGATAGTGCTTAATTTTCAGGGAAGTCTTCAGCAGTAGATCTCATTTTGAAAATTAAAAAAAGGCAAGTAGCACTGCCTTTAGCCAGTTCATCAAGTAACATAATTCCAGACATCTTAGGGAGAAAAGGGAGGGGTTTGGAGGGGAGAGGGGCCGATGGCCAACTCCATCCTCTCCCCTCTGTGAGAAGGTTCACACCAGGATCCCCTCCACTGCCAGGACGATTTAAAGGGCACTTCACCAACCATTCTGTCGAAGTCCTTTCCCAAAGTTGTCTTCAGTGTTGGTCTGGACCAGAGGCAAACCCAGGTTAGTGTGGACGGCTGCTGGACTCCAGGTGGGAGCGTTTTCCTGCCGCCAGGACACTGCTGCTCTCCGTGGGCTCCGGGAACGGGCGCTTGTAGGTCCGGCCGTGCCCGTTCATCGCCCCTCGCTGCCACTTGCAGATGTCTCCGTTCAGGATGTCTTGAATGTGCTGCACTATGAGGTTTATAGCAACTGCAGAGAGGAATGGGAAATGTGGGACGTGAAGGCTTTCCTGGCTGAGTTATCTAGAAAATGTGGAGCATCCAGCCCTGCTCTGCTCAAGTTTTAACGAGCCCTTAAATGAAACTCTGCCTGCTGTCTGCAGCGAGGTCAGACCTCCACGGGTCACTTTTCCAGCCCTCCACAGGCTGAGCAGCTCCCTCCCCTCCAGCCCTCCAGCAAAACACCTTTCCTTAGAAGCACGTGCCACTCATTCTCTTCCCAACCCCAAGGGTGTCTCCCCAAGGAAATCAGAGAACCCAACTCCCTTTTACCCATGTTGTCAACTCCTCGGGGGATGATCACATCTGCATACTTCTTTGTCTGAAAAACAGGAACAGTGGTGGAGGCTGTTAATGGAAGAGTCAGCTTCATTCTAGGAAGGAGTGACCAAAGGCCAGAAAACTGGGGCAAAGAGGGAGGGTTTCTGTTTCTTCCAGGGTTGTAAGTTAAAGCTCTCAGTCATGATTATACCTAAATTAATTAGGACATCACTGTGGCTAACGTGCACTGGATTTAAGGCCAGGGATTGTTCTTACTGCCCCTTTGCAAAGAATCACCAGGTAGAAGCAGCAGGTCAGGTGTAGAGCCCTTGTTTTTACACTTCTGAGCTGCCTTCAAATATTGACCACTTCAGGCAAGGTCTGTTTGCCAAGAGCTGGTTCTAATCAGCGTTTCATAAGCCATTGCTAAATCTCTGCCGAGAGCCAAGGTACCCAATGTGCATGTGAAATTCCTGCCTGCCTCTGATAACATTTTATTGATCTTTACCACCACAGCACTCCTGCTTTTTCTTCCCCCACTACTTGGAAAAAAGCTGGCAAAATCCAGCATTTCTAACGAGTACTTTTACAGCCCCAGAATTCCTTTGATCTAGAGCAAGAGGAGCCTGAGTTAGCCTTTTCCAGCTTATTTAACCCACATACAGGATTTTGTTCTCAAAGGGTTTTTTACAAATTAATTTGGTTATGTGAGCACCTAAATTGTCCCTGCACTATACAGTACAACAAACAGTACTAGAATGGTCTGCCCCAGGTTTTCCCCAGTGTTCCCTTGGAGAGAGGCTGCTGGAAACCAAGCTCTTTTTTCTTCCTACAAGTCTTAAGAATAAATGGAGAGTGGGAGTGTTTTAGTCAGAGGGGCCCATGCTAAAATAGCCCCAGCAGCCAGCAGTGAGGAAATGTGCTGGAGGCATTTCCATGGTGCTTCGCCAGCAGAAGGGACCATTTCAGTTCCTTAACAACCAGCTGGGAATGGTTGAAGACATGAGGCAGAGGGGAGAGCGTGGGATTTGTGAAATACAAATACCAAAACACCAAGAGTCCACACTGCTGTGTCTACAGTCCAGTTAATCCCCAGATGACCCTGCTCCTCTCCCCAGTCCCCAGAAAAAGCCCCATAAATCAAATTATTGAAACATTCCCTACCGGTAAGCAGAACTCCTCAAAGGCAGGCTTGACAAAGGTGGTGTACTGGGTGAGGATCTGCTCAAGGTCCCTCCCACGTTTCATATCTCGCAGAACTGGGATGGGGAGATAAAACCCCTGAGTGTTGCCACATGGCTGAGGGTGGATAAGGAGCACGAGCTGGCGCTGCCCGTGCCGGCAGAGCCGTTACCTCGGCGGGACAGCCGCACATCCGAGTCCGTGTCCACAAAGAGGCGGAGGTGGAACATGTCCCGAATGTCCTGATTGTAGAAAACCAGGATCCCCTCAAAGAGGACGACGTCAGCAGGATAGACCACCGTCGTCTCTGCCAGCCTGGCAGGAGAAAAAACCCACAGCACACTGTTAAATGGGTGTCACATCAGCACCAAGAGACCCATCCCCCGGCTGGGACACCCACGGACACCACCTGAGGCTTGACACAAAACCAGAACCTACCGAGAATGTGTCACGAAGTCGTACGTTGGTACCTCAACTGTTTTGCCCTCAACAATGTTTTTCAGGGTTGAATGCATCAAATCATTATCGAAAGCGTCTGTGAGAGGAAGGTTCAAAGAGGAGGAGTGTCAAATGCTGCTGTATCAAATGTTCTGCCCAGATTTTTCCAGACCCAAAGGAAAATCTCTTTGCCCCGTGTTTCACCAGGAAAAAAAGAACTTATGGCTTATTCTTTCCTACCAGCAGCTGACATTCCCTGCCGGAGTGACAACTGCTGTGCTTGGTTACAGAGATAGGGAAGAGGCAATTTGCTGTTTATAATCAACTACAACACAATAAAATTAAGATCCCAAAGGTGAAGTTGGTTTCACCAAACCACTCGGTAATTGTATAGTTTCGTGCAACTCTGTTAGTCAAGAGCCAGTTGGAAAACCTCAGGCATTCTTAATGGTTTCAAGTACCCGCCCCTGTGCACCCACAGCAGCACCAGACTGCAGCCAAGGGCAGATCCCTGTCCCGCCTGCAATCCTCCCCCGGGCCGGGGAGCAGCTGTTTGTGCAGACAAGAAGCATAAGGAAAGGATTTGGGGAATGATGTGGTGCATTACAGAGCCTCTCCGGAGCCGGGAGCAGGCCGGGATGCTCCGCAGCTCTCCATGGCTGCAGGAGGGCAGTGCCAGCCGTCAGTAACAACGGGCACGAGGGAAGGACGAACGGATGTTTTGGTGGGTGGGGGGGGGGGAGAGAGCATTTCTGCTCTCCAGCACTTCCCATTTCCGACAGGCCCTTGCCGTGCTCCAAGCACACCCTGCTCCGGGGGCACGGCGCGGGGCTCACCCGGGTGGTCGAAGTTGTACTGCCCCTTGAGCGCCTTGGCCTGCTGCTCGGCCGTCAGCACCTTGTAGAAGCTGTCCTGGCTCAGGATCAGCACCTTCCGCTGCCGCTGCTCCACCTCGTTCTGCCCCAGCAGCTCCATGATCTTCTCGCACACTGTGGACTGAGCGGGACGGGGGCTCAGCCGGGACCCGGGCCCAGCCCAGCCCCTCCTGTGTGTGGGGGGGGAAGCGGCACCGGCGATGCCCGGGCGGGCGCCGCGCAGCTCCCGCGGTCCGCGGGGCGCCCGGGGAGAGGAGCTCAGCCCCGACAGACCCCGAACGCGGTGGGTCTCACCTTTCCGCTGGCGGTGCCGCCGCTGACGCCGATGAGGAAGGGCTTGGGGTGCGGCCGCTCCGGGTCGGGGCCGCCGGCGGAGGCCATGGCGGGACGGGCACCGTGAGGGGCGGGGCGAGGGGGCGGGGCGTGACTTTCTGGGGGCGTGGTTATGGGGCGTGGTCGATGGGGGCGTGGCCATGTGCGCTGAGCGCGTCCGTTCTCAGCCGCGGGTCCGTCGGCACGGACGGACAGGGAGACAGACAGCTCTGCCTCACTGCAAACAGCGCTGCCTTATCCCGGCACACGTGTGTGTGTGTCTGTCTGTGTGTCGGTGTCTGTGTTTACACCTGTTCCCGAGTGCACACGTAGGGAACAGGTACGTGGGAACTGTGCGTGTGAAGAAGCACCTGAGGGTACAACACAGAGACACGAGGATGTGTAACGTAGGGA